GATGCCGCCGCCCGCCGCGCCGCTGCCCGCCGCGTTCGCCTCCATCTCGGCCGGCGGGGATGGGAGACCTTGCGGAGAAAAGGGCGCAGCTGAGCAAGCAGGTGGGGGATGCGCCCCCGCCGCGAAGGCGCTGTGCGCACTGGAGGCCCGCATCCACCCCGCCCCATCTCCTCCGGGCCTCACGCGTCCCCCAGATCCTGTGTCCCAGCGCTGCCTGCGGGCCTCTAGGCCCTCTCCTTCCCAACACCTCTGGTCGCAATCCACTTTGCAAACACTCAGGCCTCAGCTCTGTCCTAACCACCCCCCCAACTCCACCTTGGCAGGCGGTGGCCCCCCAAGCACGCAGTCTTCTGTCCTCAGTCCCTCAGGTTCTGTCCAATCATAATAATCATTTCTATCAGAGTGGTTAAGGGGGTAGCCTCCAGAGTCAGAATTGAACCTATGCTGTGTGACCACCAGCGAGTTCCTGAACCTCTCTGTGCCTGCATTTCCTTACCCACAAATAAAGGCGACAAAGCACACCCCTACTTCACAGGGCTGCTGTAAGGAGGATCTAAGGAGCTAAAATAAACACAAGCCCCTCCAGTGTCTGGTCTCTGGCACTCTGTGAGCACTCGATAGCTGGAAGGTATTATATTGTCATCGCTATCACTCCCGGAGGAACAGAAAGTCATCACAAACCAAGAGAACTGGAATGAAGACAGTGTTGGGAGGGGTGAGAAGAACCTGCTGGTCTGGGACAAACAGGGTACAGCAGGGGGCCGGCAGAGAGGAAAGGCAGCCTGGCACCGCAGGGAAACACGTGGCCCTGGGCCTGGGCACACCTGCGTTCAGGTCCCATCTCCTTCCCACACTATCTCCATTTCCCAAGGGGCAGTAACCCCTACACTGCAGGGGGCTTAAGGGGGGCTGACACAGGAGCAAGGAAACACACTGATTGGCAGGGCTCACCAGGTCCCCAGAGCTCTTTGTACCTTCAATGACATCTCTTGCCTGAGTGCGGCCTGATGGCAGCCGCTCAGGGAGCCTTTTCCTGCCCCCTCCGAGGTGGTGGTCATTCTCTGGGTACCCTCTTTACAAAACTTTTCATCCCAGACTGCAGCTGTCCATGTCTGCCCACCTCCCCCCAACCTCAGCTCCTGCAATTGATCCCTGAGCCTAGGACCCACCCCAGGGCCTCAGCAAACGCATCCGCTGAGTCTGGGAGAGCCAGTAGGAGAAGGTCTGCAAGGTCTGGCTAGATCCTCAGCTACTGTCCCTGCCCCTGGGGGTCTGGCTCTGCACCTAGCCCACGGTATAAGTTAGCAGTGTCCACCACCAAGGCCAGGGCCTGTCAGCCCCATCCATCTGGCTGGCTCTCTACCCCTCAGGTGAAAGGGGAGTGTCTCCTCTACCCCCCCACCCCCGGAGGTGATATTTTTAGCTGCCAGCTCTGGGTGTCCCTGGAGGAGACCCAACATCCTATGTCCTTCACACCCTCTGGTTCATCTCATTGCCGGAAGGCAAAGCTGGCATGGGAGCAGAAGCCTGGGGTGGAACCTCAGTGGGGAGACAGGGATGGAGTGGCAGGTGGTAGAAGGGAGCAGGGAGGAGGGGCGGGAAGGAAGGTGTCTTGGGGAGGAAGCCGCTGCCCAGGCTCACCTCCACCACATCACTAATAGCTAACTGACCGGGTACTTCCTGCAGGCTGCCCATGTGCCAAGTGCCTCATGCAGGTTAACTCACTGAATCCCCACAACTTTACAAGGCTATGACACAGGGACTACGGCTATCCCCACCTAACAAATGAGAAGGCAAGGCACAGAGAGATCAAATGACTTGTCCAAGGTCAGAGTAAGTCTGTGGCTCAACCCACTCCCTCTCCTCACAAGGTAGGGGAGGTAGGGGTGGAACTGTAAGGGTAGGGCCCTTATTTGGGAGTGCTCTCTGATTACGAGGGGACTGGTGAGAGGGGGAGGTGGTTACCCTCCTGAGCAGACAGAACAGTGATGTGGTGAAACTGCACCCTCTGCCTGGAATGTTCTTCCCCGTATCTCAAGGCTCTCTCCTGCCTCCTTCAGATCTCTACTCCGATGTCACCTCCAAGAGAAGTGATACCCCCCACCTCATCCCACTTGCTATCCCCTTGACTTGCTGTATTTTTTTTTATCATGGTCACTCTCGTTAGTTTACCATGTCTATTTCATTTGCTCTGTGTTTCCGGTCTGGCCTTGGCACTGAACAGCAAACACTTGCCTGCCTTGTTCACCACTGTGCCCCAGCACCTATCACAGTATGGGTGCTCCACAAATATCTGCTGGTATGTGGGAATGAAACAGTACCCTCCTAAATCACCAGTGGGTCCACAAAGAAAGCACCAGGGAAGTTAGATGCATGGAGATGGAAACACAACATACTTGGGAGATGCAGCTAAAGCAGTGCTCAGAGGTAAATTTATAGCTGTAAATGCCTATATTGATAAATATTTCTTGAATAAGTAAAAGGATGAGATTAGGGTGAACAGAATTTCCTGATAAAGGGAGGGGGACATTTAGCAGCATCTGAGCTGATACTGAGGTGGGTCCCCAAGAGAAGGAATCAAGGGATGGTGATGTTGTTATGATGGCAGGTGGGTAGATGCTGAAGGGCTGTGAGTCAGAGGAGAGCAGGGGGTGTTCTTGGGGGACAGGACTGATCAGGCTCATGATTATTCCATTGGGAAATTAGAGACATTTCCACTTTCAGGGCACCCAAGACTTACTTGGTATCTTTCTAAGGGGAGATGTATCACAGGAGGGTTTCCTACAGAAGCATGATGGGGGAATGGTCTTAAGGGGCAGGAGCCCATGGCAACCACAGTCACAGTCATAACAGCTTATGTTTATTGTCTGACCAGAGTGATAGGAACCATTGCCTTGATACATCACAAAAGTCTTGTGCCATTATTGGTCCCATTTTATAAGTGGGAAAACTAAGGAAAGGAGGCTTGTTTTCCCCAAGGTCATATAGCCAGTAAAGGGAAAAACAGGTATTGGATTCCAAATCTCTGATACCAGGACCTGTGGGTCATTCCCTTGCAACGAGCTGCCTTGTGATAAAATTCCAGTTTGTTAATAACAATAATGGTAACATCTAGTAGCATGTAACACTGAATGAATGCTTTCTACATACCAAGTACAAATCTAAATCCTTTACAGCGTCCACTCAAGGCATCTTCCCAATAATCCTAGAAAACAGTTACAATTATTATCTGTTTCACAGAGGAAGAGGCTGAGGGCCAGGGAGGAAAATTAATCTCCTAAAGTCACACCAAGAACAGGGGGCAGGGCCAGGAGTTAAAGGCAGGTAGTGGGGCTCCACAGTGTGCGCTCTTACCCCCTACATGCCCTTTCGATATTTCTCCAAAATAAAGGAACGTCCCCACTCCACTTTATATGGTATACTTTGTCTCATCCACTTCCCTGCCACTTGTCCCCAGGACTAGCCACTGGCATTTACTGAACACTAACAAGCACTNGGCAGGGCCAGGAGTTAAAGGCAGGTAGTGGGGCTCCACAGTGTGTGCTCTTACCCCCTACATGCCCTTTCGATATTTCTCCAAAATAAAGGAACGTCCCTACTCCACTTTATATGGTATACTTTGTCTCATCCACTTCCCTGCCACTTGTCCCCAGGACTAGCCACTGGCATTTACTGAACACTAACAAGCACTGTACTAGGTCCCTTATGTGGCTTGTCTCAAACTTCTTAACAGACTCATTAGATAATTCATAGGCAGGAGGACTAAGGCCAAACCATGCCGCTCGTCTGCTCAAACCATGCTGTGACCCCATCTCACTCAAAGTCCTTTTGATGACCTACACAACCCCCACAGCCTCCTGGCTGCTCCTCCAACGTGCCAGCTACATTCCGGCCCTGGGCCTTTGCACTGGCTGTTGCTTCTGCCAGGAATGCTCTGACTCACTCCCTAACCTCCTTCATTTCTTTGCTCAAATGTCATCTTCTCAGCGAGGCTCTCCATGACCCCTGTAACCTGTCACCCAGACCACCACTCCTGCTCTCCCCACACTGCTTCATTTCTCTCCTTACCAGTCAGCATCACCTAGTAAACCATAAACTCTGCTTGTGTCTTGTGGGTGGTGTCTCCCCCTCTAGAAGGTAGGCTCCATGCACACAAAGGTCTTTGTTTTGATCACTGCTCTATCCCCAGGACCCAGCACAGATCCTGTCTCCAAAAATATCTGTTAAATAAGTGAGAATGAGGCTAGAAAAAGAGGGAGTAGTTTGCTCAGCGCTATCACCACCAGTGGCATCCAGGGTTCATCCTCTTAATCATTTCATTCTTGGGGGAGGAGAGCTAAGAGCAGTGCCTGGGTCACAGTGCCTGGAGGAGGGAGTAACTTTTTGGAACATGGCTTTTTGGAAGGACAAGAGGGCGACAGGAAATTCTTGGAAGAGCCCTTCCTGCCACCCTCTAACACCACAGTCCCTGTAACACTATACTCTTATCCTGTTGTATTTTCTTCACACTTTTTTAACTGCCTACCCCATGAAACAGCACATTCACTCCATGAGGACGAGGGATCCTGTTCTTTGTTGCATGCCCAGTGTGTAGTAGGTGCTCATTAAACAGCTGGTGAACAAACGAATGAACAAATGATGTCCACTCTAGGCTTGGTAGAGCAGACAAAGGCCAGATAACCAATCACAATGCCCTCACCTCCACAGCCCTCTAAGATCACACAATCTCTCCCCTCACTCCAACCTCATGGGCCTCCCCAGCCGCTCCCCCACTCACCATGATTGTGAGCACTTCAGGTCCTTTGCACTCCTCTTCCCGCTGCCTGTGGCAGCCCACCCAAATCTCTGCACAGCTAAGTGAGCTCTGCTAATTCAGGCTGCACCTCTAAAGTAGCTACCAGGTTCTCAGAAAACACAACTGATGATGTTGTTTACTTGTTTTTGATTTGTCTCCTCAACCAGACAGTAAAACCCCCAAAAAGAAATACTGTGCATCTCTCCCGTTCACACCTGTATGCCTCGGACCCAGAACAGTGCCTGTCCATTCAATGAAGACCGACTGAATGGACACTGGGAGAAAGGGTTCCTGCCCCAGTGAAGCTGGGGGGCTTCTCCAGGGAGTCCAGGCGGGTGGAGTAAGGGCCGGGTGAGAAGGGGCAGGTTAGGGCGAGGCCTCAGGAGGGGCGCTGCCCTGCGGTACAAGGACCAACGAGAAGATGGGTCGTGGAGAGCGATGGGAGCCGGGGGGGCACTCCCCCCTGAAGAGCAAGGATGCGGGTGAGAACTCACCTCTAGAGGGAGCTGTTCTACGCGGAGAGGGTCTGGGGGTGTCGAAAGGGGTATTTTCAAGGGGAATTACTGGGGAGGAGCGCGGTGCAGAAGGAAAAAAAGGCATTCTTGGCTGCTGACCAGAAGATAAAGTATTTTTACACCAACGAAGGGGGCGTTGGGGGGAAAGTGGTTAGGAGTTTTGGGGGGCTGTGTGTGGGCAGAGGTAATGGGGGACATTCCGTTATAACGCACAAATGCAACAGCCTTTGGTGGCAACCTATAGGGGCTACTAAAGGAGGGTTCAGGGGCAGCTGGCCTGCTTGGGGGAGGGCAACGCCGGTGGCATTTGGGGGGCTGTCCCGGAGGAAGCAATGACGGGGAGCTATGCAGGGATCCCACAAGAAAGCAGCAATTTAGGGGAGCGCCACGAAAGAGGGCGCTTTGGTCGCCGTCCTACGTGGGAGCGTTAATGGGGCAGATATCTGGGTGCTCTTGTGGGGGAGCAGTAATGGGGGCCCCCTGGCGAGGGCCCGGCGCAAGCACTGATGGGGACGTTTTGAGGACCAGAGCGAGCCTGGGCGGGACCCCCCGCCCCCGCTGTCCCCGGGCCTCCAGGCCACACGCCCCGTCACTCACCGGCGCCGGGGGTCTCCGCC